TGCGCTGCAACCCTTCGGGGTGTCCAAAAAGAGCACTACAATGCTCTAGGGTGTCAAGCAAGAGAATTGCAATGCTCCAGGGTGGCCGCCAAGAGCACTGCAACGCTCTAGGGTGTCCGGCAATTGCATTGCAACGCTCCAGGGTGGCCGGCAAGAGCATTGCAACGCTCCGGGGTGTCTGGCAAGAGCATTGCAACGGTCCACGGTGGTCAGCAAGAGCATTGCAACGCTCCGGGGTGTCCGGCAAGTGCGTTGCAATACCTCAAGGTGTCCAGCAAGAGCACTACAATGCTCTAGGGTGTCAAGCAAGAGCATTGCAACGCTCCATGGTGGACGGCAAGAGCATGGCAACGCTCCGGGGTGTCTGGCAAGAGCATTGCAACGCTCCTGGGTGGTCGGCAAGAGCATTGCAACGCTCCAGGGTGTCCGGCAAGAGCATTGCAACGCTCGAGGGTGTCAGGCAAGAGCATTGCAACTCTCCGGGGTGTCGTGCAAGGGCATTGCAACGCTTCAGGGTGTCCGGCAAGAGCATCGCAACGGTTCAGGGTGGCCGTCAAGAGCATTGCAACGCTCCACGGTGGTGGACAAGAGCATTGCAACACTCCGGGGTGTCCAACAAGTGCACAGCAACGCTCCGGGGTGTCCGGCAAGAGCATTGCAATGCTGTGGGGTATCTGACAAGAGCATTGCAATGCTCCGGGGTGTCGTGCAAGGGCATTGCAACGCTCCGGGGTGTCTGGCAAGAGCATTGCAATGCTCGTGGGTGGTCGGCAAGAGCATTGCAATGCTCGAGGGTGGTCGGCAAGAGCATTGCAGCGCTCCAGGGTGTCCGGCAAGAGCATTTCAACTCTCCAGGGTGTCAGGCAGGAGCATTGCAACGCTCCGGGGTGTCGTGCAAGGGCATTGCAACACTCCAGGTTGTCCGGCAAGAGCATTGCAACGCTTCAGGGTGGCTGGGAAGAGCATTGCAACGCTCCACGGTGGTTGACAAGAGCATTCCAACACTCCGGGGTGTCCAATAAGTGCACAGCAACGCTCTAGGGTGGCCGGCAAGAGCACCGCAACGCTCCGGGGTGTCGTTAAGTGCACTGCAATGCTCCAGGGTGTCTGGCAAGAGCATTGCAACGCTCCGGGGTGTCCGGCAAGAGCATTGCAACACTCTCGGGTGGTCGGCAAGAGCATTGCAACGCTCCAGAATGGTCGGCAAGAGCATTGTAGCGCTCCAGGGTATCCGGCAAGAGCCTTACAACGCTCCAGGGTGTCCGGCAGGAGCATTGCAACGCTCCGGGGTGTCCGGCAAGAGCATTGCAACGCTCTAGGGTGTCCGGCAAGAGCATTGCAACGCTCTAGGGTGTCCGGGAAGAGCATTGCAATGCTCCAGGGTGTCCAGCAAGCGCACTGCAACGCTCCGGGGTGTCCGGCAAGTGCATTGCAACGCTCCACGGTGTCCAGCAAGAGCATTGCAACGCTCCAGGGTGTCCGGCAAGAGCATTGCAACGCTACGGGGTGTCCGGCAAATGCACTGCAATGCTCTGGGGTGTCTGGCAAGAGCAGTGCAACGCTCCAGGGTGTCCGGCAAGAGCATTGCAATGATCCAGGGTGTCCGCTAAGAGCATTGCAACGCTCCGGGGTGTCCGGCAAGTGTCTGCAACGCTCTGGGGTGTCCGGCAAGAGCATTGCAACGCTCCAGGGTGGCCGGCAAGAGCATTGCAACGCTCCACGGTGGTTGGCAAGAGCATTGCAACGCTTCGGGGTGTCCGGCAAGTGCGCTGAAATGCTTCGTGTTATAGTCTGCAGTCCACTTAGAGGTCGCGGATGCCAATGAAACCCCCTAAGCAGAATCTGATGTCTTCAAACCGCCTCTGTTCAAAACGCCGTCACGATCAGCTCCAAAAACACACGACGCTGAAACTTGGACAGCGGTTAGCCTTAGGTGTGTTATTTCCAACGGTATATTATTTGCTATTATCAGAGGTATGTGCACTACGCAGTGATAAAAAACGTAAGCTCGGCTGAAAAACGTGTAGTTTCATCGATGCAAGGAAGAGGTGAGTACAACATTGCCTAGGGGACTCATAAGGGGTTGGGTCATCCTGGGAACTCAGAGAAGGTTGAGTCCTAGGGGAGAAAGGCTAGAGAAGGGTGGGAAACGTCCTAGGTAGGTCAGCAAAGCCAACCACACTTGGATGTTCAGAGCTGTACTCAAGGTTACCAATAGTGAGTCAAGCCAACATGAGTCAGCTTGTCTTCCCACTTGCACCCTCTTGCAAGCTGCTTCCAGGAAGACCACACTTCTCAAAAGGAGGGTGGTAGAGTCCCACTTGACCACCTGTACTTCTTGTCTCATTCTCTGTCCCTGCACCATTTGCATGACAACAATGAAAGGGTGGCAAGGGAAATGCTGCCAACAGTGCACCATGACTACGGAACAGTGAATTTCGACATCTGTCACGCAATGCTCAGATGTTGGATCGTTCTGAAACTTGGTGACCACCTGCACAGCAAGGCAAAGGACCGCCAGACCGAAGTCTAGACCAATCAGATCTCGGTAGACGAGTCAGCAGCCGAAATGGTGAACTCGGGTGTTACCAAAAAGGAGTAACACACACTTCCGGGATGCCATAGGTCTTGAGACATAAAATGTTGTAATGCCTTGGTAACTGCTTCAAAAACTTTGAAACTTTTAGGGTTTGAAGAAAACATGTTGAAAAACCTCCCCACAAAATTCCAGAAGCTGAGCAGGCTTGTAGGCCGAATGGGAGTGCGATGACCGTGCCACTGTAATGTGTTGGCACAACATACTCCCCCTCATCGTGCTCTCATTCATCCCTTAGCTGCTCCCTTAAGCTGCCTCCCTTAGTTGAAGGACATGCCACACAAGGTGGCACAGGTCCAATGCTGATGCTCTGCAAGCCGCTTTGTTAAAAAATCTGCAGGTTGCTTGGTAGTGTTGATGTAGTGCAAGGAGACCGTGCCCTTCTTCACCTCCTTCCTCACCCAATGCCATTTGATATGCATGTGCTTGTTCAGCCCATGGAGCACAGCATTGCGAGCCAGTGCAATTGCTCCTTGGCTGTCACAAAACACAGGTGTAGGACCCTCTTGCTCCTGCATTAACTCCTCAAGCAACCTCCTCATCCGAACCACCTCCTTCACCACATGAAACAACGCCATGTACTCGCTCTCCGTTGATGAGTGAGCTATCTCCCCTTGCTTCTTAGACTTCCAGCTCACTGGACTCCCTCCAGCACAGCATACATAGCCACCATGGGATGTTGCATCACTGGTGTCACTTGCCCAGGTAGCATCGGTGAAGCACGAGAGGTACAAGTGTCCACGCCTTGCAGGTGCGCCGGTCTTCGTGCTCACCTCCTCCACTCCCTTTTGCTTCAGCTGCCCATGCACTGAATATTGCAGCCCCACCCTTGAGATTGCCATGCAGTACCTCACCAGCCTCTCTGCTGCATCAAGGTGCTCTTGAAGGGGCCTAGACACCACACGAGCCAGCTGCGAAACCGCGAATGAAATGCCGGGGCGAGTGTTGACCGAAGCATACATCAAGCTCCCCACCATTGACTGGAACCGACGCTGCAACTCGGGCTCCAACACTTCACCCTCCTCCAGCCCGTACCTCTCCCCCATGGCTGCAAGGTACTTGTGTTGGTGAAGCCTCAACCATCCCTTCACCTCGTCCCGCTCCACGTGAAGACCAAGGTAATACCCCACCGGTCCAAGGGCCTTGCATTGAAAGGTCTCCTTCAGCTTTCCTTGCACCTCCTTGATCCTCTATAGGGATGGAGAGAAGAGGAGAATGTCGTCGACGTAGACAAGGAGAAACACCTTCTCCTCCTCCCCTTCGGTCATGAAAAGACTCTCGTCGCAACCGCTGACTTTGAAGCCAAGAGCCTCCAACGCCTCCACCAGCCTTGCATACCAGCACCTTGGAGCTTGTTTGAGGCAATAGAGGGCCTTGTTAAGCCTACAAACACGTCCGCTCCCATCGTCATACCCCTCTGGCTCCTTCATGTAGATCTCCTCATCTACCACGCCATAGAGGAAAGCCGTCTTCACATCCATTTGCTCCACCTTCCAACCACAAACGGCAGCTGCTGCCAGCAACACCCGAAGCGTCCACGTCCACGTCCATATCCACGTCCACGTCCACGACCACGTCCACGTCCACGTCCACGTCCACGTCCACGTCCAAGTCCACGTCCACGTCCACCTCCAGGTCCACGTCCACGTCCACGTCCACGTCCACGTCCACGTCCACGTCCTCGTCCACGTCCACGTCCTCGTCCACGTCCACGTCCACGTCCAGGTCCAGGTCCACGTCCACGTCCACGTCCACCACGTCCACGACCACGTCCACGTCCACCACATCCACGACCACGTCCACGTCCACGTCCACGACCACGTCCACGTCCACGTCCACGTCCAAGTCCACGCCCACGTCCACGTCCACGTCCACGTCCACGTCCACAACCACGTCCACGTCCACGTCCACGTCCACGACCACGTCCACATCCACGTCCACGTCCACGTCCACGTCCAAGTCCACGTCCACGTCCACGTCCACGACCACTTCCACGTCCACGTCCACGACCACGTCCACATCCACGTCCAGGTCCACGTCCACGTCCACGTCCACGTCCTCGTCCACGTCCACGTCCACGTCCACGTCCTCCACGTCCACGTCCACGTCCATGTTCACGACCACGTCCACATCCACGACCACGTCCACGTCCACGTCAACGTCCACGTCCACGTCCACGACCACGTCCACGTCCACCTCAACGTCCACGTCCACGTCCACGACCACGACCACGACCACGTCCACGTCCACGACCACGTCCACGTCAACGTCCACGTCCATGACCAAGTCCACATCCACGTCCATGACCACGTCCACGTCCACGTCCAAGACCATGTCCACGCCACGTCCACGTCCTCCACGTCCACGTCCACGTCCACGTTCACATCCACGTCCAGGTCCACGTCTACGTCCAAGTCCACGTCCACGACCACGTCCACGTCCACGTCCACGTCCACGACCACGTCCACGTCCACGTCCAATTCCACGTCCACGTCCAGGTCCAGGTCCACGACCACGTCCACGACCACGTCCACGGCCACGTCCACGACCACGTCCTCGACCACGTACACGTCCACGTCCACGTCCTAGTCCACGTCCACGTCCACGTCCACGACCACGTCCACGTCCACGTCCACGTCGAGGTCCACGTCCATGTCCACGACCTTGCCATGTCCACGTCCACGTCCACGTCCTCCACGTCCACGTCCACGTTCTCGACGTCCACGTCCACGTCCACGTCCACGTCAAGGTCCACGTCTACGTCCACGTCCACGTCCACGTCCAAGACCACGACCACGTCCTCCACGTCCACGTCCACGTCCACGTCCAAGTCCACGTCCACGTCCAGGTCCACGTCCAGGTCCACGTCCACGTCTACGTCCACGTCCACGACCACGTCCACGTCCACGTCCACGTCCACGTCCAAGTCCACGTCCACGTCCACGTCCAGGTCCACATCCACATCCACGACCACGTCCACGTCCACGTCCACGACCACGTCCACGTCCACGTCCTCCACGTCCAGGTCCACGTCCACGTCCACGTCCACGTCCTCCACGTCCAGGTCCACGTCCACGTCCACGTCCACGTCCACGTCCACGTCAACGTCCACGTCCACGTCCAGGTCCACGTCGACGTCCACGTCCACGTCCACATCCACTCAACGTCCACGACCATCTCCACGTCCACGTCCACGTCCACGTCCAGGTCCACGTCCACGTCCACGTCTAGTTCCACGTCCACGTCCACGACCACGTCCAGGACCACGTCCACGTCCACAACCTCCACGACCACGTCCATGACCACGTCCACGTCCACGACCAGGTCCACATCCACGTCCACGACCACGTCCACGTCCACGTCCACGACCATGGCCACGTCCACCTCAACGTCCAGGTCCACGTCTACGTCCACATCCTGGTCCACGTCCACGTCCACGACCACGACCACGTCCACGTCCACGTCCACGTCCACGTCTGCGTCCACGTCCACGTCCGCGTCCGCGTCCACGTCCGCGACCACGACCACGTCCTCGTCCACGTCCACATCTACGACCACGACCACGTCCACGTCCACGTCCACGACCACATCTACGTCCACGTCCACGTCCAAGTCCACGTCCACGTTCATGACCACGTCCACGTCCACGTCCGCGTCCACGTCCACGTCCACGACCACATCCACGTCCACGTCCACCACGTCCACGTCCACGCCCACGTCAATGTCCAAGTCCAGGTCCAGGTCCACGTCCACGTCCACGTCCACGTCCACCACGTCCACGACCACGTCCACGTCCACCACGTCCACGACCACGTCCACGTCCACGACCACGTCCACGTCCACGCCACGTCCACGTCCACGTCCACGTCCAAGTCCACGCCCACGTTCACATCCACGTCCACGTCCACGTCTACGTCCAAGTCCACGTCCACGACCACGTCCACGTCCACGTCCACGTCCACGACCACGTCCACGTCCACGTCCACGTCCAAGTCCACGTCCACGTCCAGGTCCACGTCCACGACCACGTCCACGACCACGTCCACGGCCACGTCCACGACCACGTCCACGACCACGTCCACAACCACGTCCACGTCCTAGTCCACGTCCACGTCCACGTCCACGTCCACGACCACGTCCACGTCCACGTCCACGTCGAGGTCCACGTCCATGTCCACGACCTTGCCATGTCCACGTCCACGTCCACGTCCTCCACGTCCACGTCCACGTTCTCGACGTCCACGTCCACGTCCACGTCCACGTCCACGTCCACGTCCAGGTCCACGTCTACGTCCACGTCCACGTCCACGTCCAAGACCACGACCACGTCCTCCACGTCCACGTCCACGTCCACGTCCAAGTCCACGTCCACGTCCACGACCACGTCCACATCCACGACCACGTCCACGTCCACGTCAACGTCCACGTCCACGTCTACGACCACGTCCACGTCCACGTCCACGTCCACGTCCACAACCACGTCCACGTCCACGTCCACGACCACGTCCACATCCACGTCCACGTCCACGTCCACGTCCAAGTCCACGTCCACGTCCAGGTCCACGTCCACGTCCACGTCCACGTCCACGTCCTCGTCCACGTCCACGTCCACGACCACGTCCACGTCCACGTCCACGTCCACGTCCTCCACGTCCACGTCCACGTCCACGTCCACGACCACGTCCACATCCACGACCACGTCCACGTCCACGTCAACGTCCACGTCCACGTCCACGACCACGTCCACGTCCACGTCAACGTCCACGTCCACGTCCACGACCACGACCACGACCACGACCACGTCCACGTCCACGACCACGTCCACGTCCACGTCAACGTCCACGTCCACGACCAAGTCTATATCCACGTCCACGACCACGTCCACGTCCACGTCCAAGACCACGTCCACGCCACGTCCACCTCCTCCACGTCCACGTCCACGTCCACGTTCACATCCACGTCCAGGTCCACGTCTACGTCCAAGTCCACGTCCACGACCACGTCCACGTCCACGTCCACGACCACGTCCACGTCCACGTCCACGTCCAAGTCCACGTCCACGTCCAGGTCCACGTCCACGACCACGTCCACGACCACGTCCACGGCCACGTCCACGACCACGTCCACGACCACGTCCACATCCACGTCCACGTCCACGTCCTAGTCCACGTCCACGTCCACGTCCACGTCCACGACCACGTCCACGTCCACGTCCACGTCGAGGTCCACGTCCATGTCCACGACCTTGCCATGTCCACGTCCACGTCCACGTCCTCCACGTCCACGTCCACGTTCTCGACGTCCACGTCCACGTCCACGTCCACGTCCACGTCCAGGTCCACGTCTACGTCCACGTCCACGTCCACGTCCAAGACCACGACCACGTCCTCCATGTCCACGTCCACGTCCACGTCCAAGTCCACGTCCACGTCCACGTCCACGTCCACGTCTACGTCCACGTCCACGACTAGTCCACGTCCACGTCCATGTCCAAGTCCACGTCCACGTCCAGGTCCACGTCCAGGTCGACGTCCACGTCTACGTCCACGTCCACGACCACGTCCACGTCCACGTCCACGACCACGTCCACGTCCACGTCCTCCACGTCCAGGTCCACGTCCACGTCCACGTCCTCGTCCTCCACGTCCAGGTCCACGTCCTCCACGTCCACGTCCTCGTCCTCCACGTCCACGTCCACGTCCTCCACGTCCACGTCCACGTCCTCCACGTCCACGTCCACGTCCACGTCCTCCACGTCCACGTCCACGTCCACGTTGACGTCCACGACCACGTCCAGGTCCACGTCCACGTCAACGTCCACGTCTACGTCCAGGTCCACGTCGACGTCCACGTCCACGTCCACATCCACTCAACGTCCACAACCATCTCCACGTCCACGTCCATGTCCACGTCCAAGTCCACGTCCACGTCCACGTCTAGGTCCACGTCCACGTCCACGTCCACGACCACGTCCAGGACCACGTCCACGTCCACGTCCTCCACGACCACGTCCACGTCCACATCCACGACCACGTCCACGTCCACGTCCACGACCAGGTCCACGTCCACGTCCACGACCATGGCCACGTCCACGTCCACGTCCAGGTCCACGTCCACGTCCTCGTCCTGGTCCACGTCCACGTCCACGACCACGTCCACGTCCACGTCTGCGTCCGCGTCCACGTCCGCGACCACGACCACGTCCTCGTCCACGTCCACGTCTACGACCACGACCACGTCTACGTCTACGTCCACGTCCACGTCCACGACCACATCTACGTCCACGTCCACGTCCAAGTCCACGTCCACGTTCATGACCACGTCCACGTCCACGTCCGCGTCCACGTCCACGACCACATCCACGTCCACGTCCACCACGTCCACGTCCACGCCCACGTCAATGTCCAAGTCCAGGTCCACGTCCACGTCCACGTCCACGTCCACCACGTCGATGTCCACGTCCACGTCCACGTCTACGCCCACGTCCACGTCCGCGTCTACGTCCACGTCCACGTCCACGACCGCATCCCCATCCACATCCAGGTCCACGTCCACGACTGCGTCCAGGTCCACGTCCACGTCCACGTCCAGGTCCACGTCCACGTCCACGTTCAGGACCACGTCCACGTCCACGTCCACGTCCACGTCCGCGTCCACGTCCACGTCCACGTCCGCGTCCACGTCCACGTCCACGACCACGTCCACGTCGAGGTCCACGTCCACGTCGAGGTCCACGTCCACGTCGAGGTCCACGTCCATGTCCACGACCTTGCCATGTCCACGTCCACGTCCTCCACGTCCACGTCCACGTCCACGTCTACGTTCTCCACGTCCACGTCCACGTCCACGTCCAGGTCCACGTCTACGTCCACGTCCACGTCCACGTCCAAGACCACAACCACATCCTCCACGTCCACGTCCATGCCACGTCCAAGTCCACGTCCACGTCCAGGTCCACGTCCAGGTCCATGTCCACGTCTACGTCCACGTCCACGACCACGTCCACGTCCACGTCCACGTCCAGGTCCACATCCACGTCCACGACCACGTCCACGTCCACGTCCTCGTCCACGTCCTCCACGTCCACGTCCTCGTCCTCCACGTCCACGTCCAGGTCCACGTCCACGTCCTCGTCCTCTACGTCCACGTCCACGTCCTCCGCGTCCACGACCACGTCCTCCACGTCCACGTCCACGTCCACGTCCTCCACGTCCACGTCCACGTCCACGTCCACGTCCACGTCCACGTCCATGTCCACGTCGACGTCGACGTCCACGACCACGTCCACGTCCACGTCCACGTCAACGTCAACGTCCACGTCAACGTCCACGTCCACGTCCAGGTCCACGTTGACGTCCACGTCCACGTCCACATCCACTCCACGTCCACGACCATCTCCACGTCCACGTCCACGTCCAAGTCCACGTCCACATCCACGTCCACGTCCACGTCCAGGTTCACGTCCACGTCCACGACCACGTCCAGGACCACGTCCACGTTCACGTCCTCCACGACCACGTCCACGACCACGTCCAGGTCCACGTCCACGTCCACGTCCACGACCACGTCCACGTCCACGTCCACGTCCAAGTCCACGTCCACGTCCAGGTCCACATCCACATCCACGACCACGTCCACGTCCACGTCCACGTCCACGACCACGTCCACGTCCACGTCCACGTCCACGTCCTCCACGTCCAGGTCCACGTACACGTCCACGTCCTCGTCCTCCACGTCGAGGTCCACGTACACGTCCACGTCCTCGTCCTCCACGTCCACGTCCACGTCCTCCATGTCCACGTCCACGTCCTCCACGTCCACGTCCACGTCCATGTCATCCAGGTCCACGTCCACGTCGACGTCCACGACCACGTCCACGTCCACGTCAACGTCAACGTCCACATCCACTCCACGTCCACGACCATCTCCACGTCCACGTCCACGTCCACGTCTAGGTCCACGTCCACGTCCACGACCACGTCCAGGACCAAGTCCACGTCCACGTCCACGTCCTCCACGACCACGTCCACGACCACGTCCACGTCCACGTCCACGACCACGTCCACGTCCACGTCCACGACCACGTCCACGTCCACGTCCACGACCACGGCCACGTCCACGTCCACGTCCAGGTCCACGTCCACGTCCACATCCTAGTCCACGTTCACGTCCACGTCCACGACCACGTCCACGTCCACGTCCACGTCCGCGTCCACGTCTGCGTCCGCGTCCACGTCCGCGACCACGACCACGTCCGCGTCCACGTCCACGTCCGTGACCACGACCACGACCACATCTACGTCCACGTCCACGTCCAAGTCCACGTCCACGTTCATGACCACGTCCACGTCCACGGCCGCGTCCACGTCCACGTCAACGACCACATCCACATCCACGTCCACCACGTCCACGTCCACGCCCACGTCAATGTGCACGTCCAGGTCCACGTCCACGTCCACGTCCACCATGTCCACGTCCACGTCCACGTCCACGTCTACGCCCACGTCCATGTCCGCGTCCACGTCCACGTCCACGTCTACGACCGCGTCCCCATCCACGTCCAGGTCCACGTCCATGACTGCGTCCAGGTCCACGTCCACGTCCACGTCCACGTCCAGGTCCACGTCCACGTCCACGTCCATGACCACGTCCACGTCCACCTCCACGTCCACGTCCACGTCCACGTCCACGTCCGCGTCTACGTCCACGTCCACGTCCGCGTCCACGTCCACGTCCACGACCACGTCCACGTCCACGTCCACGTCGAGGTCCACGTCCATGTCCACGACCTTGCCACGTCCACGTCCACGTCCTCGTCCACGTCCACGTCCTCCACGTCCACGTCCACGTTCTCCACGTCCACGTCCACGTCCTCCGCGTCCACGACCACGTCCTCCACGTCCACGTCCACGTCCTCCACGTCCACGTCCACGTCCACGTCGACGTCCACGACCACGTCCACGTCCACGTCAACGTCCACGTCCACGTCAACGTCTACGTCCACGTCCAGGTCCACGTTGACGTCCACGTCCACGTCCACATCCACTCCACGCCCACGACCATCTTTACGTCCACGTCCACGTCCACGTCCAAGTCCACGTCCACGTCCACGTCCAGGTCCACGTCCACGTACACGACCACGTCCACGACCACGTCCACGTCCACGTCCACGTCCTCCACGACCACGTCCACGTCCACGTCCACGTCCACGTCCACGTTCATGACCACGTCCACGTCCACGGCCGCGTCCACGTCCACGTCAACGACCACATCCACATCCACGTCCACCACGTCCACGTCCACGCCCACGTCAATGTGCACGTCCAGGTCCACGTCCACGTCCACGTCCACCATGTCCACGTCCACGTCCAGGTCCACGTCCAGGTCCACGTCCAGGTCCACGTCCAGGTCCATGTCCAGGTCCACGTCCACGTCCACATCCAGGTCCAGGTCCACGTCCACGTCCACGTCCACGTCCATGACCACGTCCACGTCCACGTCCACCATGTCCACGTCCACGTCCACGTCCATGTCCACGTTCACGTCCACGTCGAGGACCGCGTCCATGACCACGTCCATGTCCACGTCAAGGTCCACGTCCACGTTCACGTCCACGTCCACGTCCACGTCGACGTCCACGTCCACCACGTACACGTCCACGTCCACGTCCACGTCCATATCCATTTCCACGTCCACGTCCACGTCCGGGTCAACGTCCAGGTCCACGTCCACGTCCACGTCCACGTCCACGTCCACGTCCAGGTCCACGTCCACGTCCACGTCCACCACGTCCACGTCCACAACCACGTCCACGTCCACGTCCACGACCGCGTCCACGTCCACGACCGCGTCCACGTCCACGTCCACGTCCACGACCACGTCCACGTCCACGTCCACGCCCACGACCACGTCCACGTCCACGACCACGTCCACGTCCACGTCCACGTCCAGGTCCAGGTCCACATCTAGGTCCAGGTCCACGTCCACGTCTAGGTCAAAGTCCACGTCTATGTCCACGTCCACGTCGAGGTGAACGTCCATGTCCACGTCCAGGTCCACGTCCACGTCCACGTCCAGGTCCACGTCCACGTACACGTCCACGTCCACGTCCACGTCTCCGACCACGTCCACGTCCACGACCACGTCCACGTCCACGTCCACGTCCACGAACACGTCCACGTCCATGACCACGTCCACGTCCACGTCCACGTCCAAGTCGACGTCCACGTCCAGGTCCAGGTCCACGTCCATGTCCACGTCCACGTCCACGTCCACGTCCAGGTCCACGTCCACGTCCACGACCACGTCCACGTCCATGACCACGTCCACGTCCAAGTCCACGTCCACGTCCACGTCTAAGTCCACGACCACGTCCATGACCACGTCCACGTCCACGTCCACGTCCACGTCCACAACCACGTCCACGTCCACGACCATGTCCACATCCACGTCCACATCCACGTCCACGACCACGTCCACGACCACGTCCACGTACACGTCCACGTCCACGTCCACGACCACGTCCACGTCCACGTCCACGTCCACATCCGCGTCCACGTCCGCGTCCACGTCCTCGTCCAAGTCCGCGTCCACGTCCGCGTCCACGTCCTCGTCCACATCCCGTCACGTCCGCATCCACGTCCACGTCCACGACCACGTCCACGTCCGCGTCCACGTCCACGACAACGTCCACGTCCACGTCCACGTCCATGTCCAAGTCCACATCCACGTCCACGTCCAAGTCCACGTCCACGTCTACGACCACATCTACATCCACGCCCACGTCCACGTCCAAGTCCACGTCCACGTCTAGGTCCAGGTCCAAGTCCACGTCCACGTCCACGACCACGTCCACGTCCACGTCCAGGTCCACGTCCACGTCCACGTCCAGGTCCACGTCCACGTCCACGACCACATCCACGTCCACGTCCAAGTCCACGTCCACGTCCTGGTCCACGTCCACGTCCATGTCCTCCACGTCCATGTCCACGTCCTCCACGTCCACGTCCACGTCTTCCACGTCCACGTACAGGTCCATCTCCACGTCCACGTCCACATCCACGTCCACGTCCACATCCACGTCCACGTCCACGTCCAAGTCTACGTCCACGTCCACGTCCACATCCACGTCGACGTCCACGTCCCCGACCACGTCCACGTCCACGACCACGTCCACGTCCACGTCCACGTCCACGAACACGTCCACATCCATGACCACGTCCACGTCCACGTCCACGTCCAAGTCCACGTCCACGTCCAGGTCCAGGTCCAGGTCCACGTCCACGTCCACGTCCACGTCCAGGTCCACGTCCACGTCCACGACCACGTCCACGTCCACGTCCACGTCCACGTCCACGTCCAAGTCCACGTCCACGTCCACGTCCACGTCTACGTCCACGACCACGTCCACGACCACGTCCACGTCCACGTCCACAACCACGTCCACGTCCACGACCACGTCCACATCCACGTCCATATCCACGTCCATGACCACGTTCACGACCACGTCCACGTCCACGTCCACGTCTACGTCCACGACCACGTCCACGTTCACGTCCACGTCCACGTCCGCTTCCACGTCCGCGTCCACGTCCTCGTCCACGTCCGCGTCCACGTCCGCGTCCACGTTTGCGTCCACGTCCGCGTCCACGTTTGCGTCCACGTCTAGTCCACGACCACGTCCACGTCCGCGTCCACGTCCACGACCACGTCCACGTCCACGTCCACGTCCAAGTCCACGTCTACGTCCACGTCCAAGTCCACGTCCAAGTCCACGTCCACGTCTACGACCACATCCACATCCACGTCCACGTCCATGTCCAAGTCCACGTCCACGTCCAGGTCCAGGTCCAAGTCCACGTCCACGTCCACGACCACGTCCACGTCCACATCCAGGTCCACGTCCACGTCCACGTCCACGACCACGTCCACGTCCACGTCCACATCCACGTCCAAGTCCACGTCCACGTCCTGGTCCACGTCCACGTCCACGTCCTCCACGTCCACGTCCACGTCCTCCACGTCCACGTCCACGTCCTCCACGTCCACGTCCACGTCCTCCACGTCCACGTCCACGTCCACGTCCACGTCCACATCCACGTCCACGTCCACGTCCACATCCACGTCCACGTCCACGTCCAAGTCTACGTCCACGTCCACGTCCACGTCGACGTCCACGTCCCCGACCACGTCCACGTCCACGACCACGTCCACGTCCACGTCCACGTCCACGAACACGTCCACATCCATGACCACGTCCACGTCCACGTCCACGTCCACGTCTACGTCCAAGTCCACGTCCACTTCCAGGTCCAGGTCCACGTCCACGTCCACGTCCACGTCCAGGTCCACGTCCACGTCCACGACCACGTCCACGTCCATGACCACGTCCACGTCTAAGTCCACGTCCACGTCCACGTCCACGTCTACGTCCACGACCTCGTCCACGACCACGTCCACGTCCACGTCCACGTCCACAACCACGTCCACGTCCACGACCACGTCCACATCCACGTCCACATCCACGTCCACGACCACGTCCACGACCACGTCCACGTCCACGTCCACGTCCACGACCACGTCCACAACCACGTCCACGTCCGGGTCCACGTCCGCGTCCACGTCCTCGTCCACGTCCGCGTCCACGTCCGTGTCCACGTCCTCGTCCACGTCCGCGTCCACATTTGCGTCCACGTCCACGTCCACGACCACGTCCACGTCCGCGTCCACGTCCACGACCACGTCCACGTCCAAGTCCACGTCCACGTCCACGTCCAAGTCCACGTCCACGTCGACGACCACGTCCACATCCACGTCCACGTCTACGACCACATCCACATCCACGTCCACGTCCATGTCCAAGTCCACGTCCACGTCCAGGTCCAGGTCCAAGTCCACGTCCACGACCACGACCACGTCCACGTCCAGGTCCACGTCCACGTCCACGTCCACGCCCACGTCCATGTCCTCCACGTCCACGTCCACGCCGTCCATGTCCACGTCCTCCACGTCCACGTCCACGACCACGTCCATGTCCACGTCCACGTCCACGACCAAGTCCACGTCCACGTCCACGTCCACGTCCACGACCACGTCCACGACCACGTCCACGACCACGTCCACGTCCACGTCCACGTCCAAGTCCACGTCCACGTCCACGTCCTCCACGTCCACGTCCATGTCGTCGATGTCCACGTCCTCCACGTCCACGTCCACGACCACGTCCATGTCCACGTCCACGTCCACGACCACGTCCACGTCCACGTCCAAGCCCACGTCCACGTCCACGTCCACGACCACGTCCACGTCCACATCCACGTCCACGACCACGTCCACGACCACGTCCACGTCCACGTCCAAGTCCACGTCCACGTGGTGGTCCACGTCCACGTCCTCCACGTCTATGTCCCTTCCTCTACGTCCACGTCTACGTCCACGTCCATGTCCACATCCACATCCACGTACACGTCCACGTCCACGTCCACATCCACGTCCACGTCCATGTCCACGTCCACGTCCACGTCCACATCGTGGTCCATGTCCACGTCCTCCACGTCCACGTCCACGTCCTCCACGTCCACGTTTACGTCCACGTCCACGTCCACATCCACGTCCACGTCCACGTCCACGTCCACATCCACGTCCACGTCCACGTCCAAGTCCACGTCCACGTCGTGGTCCACGTCCACGTCCTCCACGTCCACATCCACGTCATCCACGTCCACGTCTACGTCCACGTCCACGTCCACATCCACGTCCACGTACACGTACACGTCCACGTCCACGTTCACGTCCAAGCCCACGTCCACGTCCACGTCCACCTCCTCCACGTCCACGTCCACGTCGTCCATGTCCACGTCCTCCACATCCACGTCCACGACCACGTCCATGTTCACGTCCACGTCCACGACCACCTCCAAGTCCACGTCCACGTCCACGTCCACGTCCAAGCCCACGTCCACGTCCAGGTCCAGGTCCAGGTCCAGGTCCACGTCCACGTCCACGTCCAAGTCCACGTCCACGTCCACGACCACGTCCACGTCCACGTCCACGTCCACGTCCACGTCCAAGTCCACGTCCACGTCCACGTCCACGACCACGTCCACGACCACGTCCACGTCCACGTCCACAACCACGTCCACGTCCACGACCACGTTCACGACCACGTCCACGTCCACGTCCACGTCTACGTCCACGACCACGTCCACGTCCACGTCCACGTCCACGTCCGCTTCCACGTCCGCGTCCACGTCCTCGTCCACGTCCGCGTCCACGTCCGCGTCCACGTTTGCGTCCACGTCCGCGTCCACGTTTGCGTCCACGTCCACGTCCACGACCACGTCCACGTCCGCGTCCACGTCCACGACCACGTCCACGTCCACGTCCACGTCCAAGTCCACGTCTACGTCCACGTCCAAGTCCACGTCCAAGTCCACGTCCACGTCTACGACCACATCCACATCCACGTCCACGTCCATGTCCAAGTCCACGTCCACGTCCAGGTCCAGGTCCAAGTCCACGTCCACGTCCACGACCACGTCCACGTCCACATCCAGGTCCACGTCCACGTCCACGTCCACGACCACGTCCACGTCCACGTCCACATCCACGTCCAAGTCCACGTCCACGTCCTGGTCCACGTCCACGTCCACGTCCTCCACGTCCACGTCCACGTCCTCCACGTCCACGTCCACGTCCTCCACGTCCACGTCCACGTCCTCCACGTCCACGTCCAGGTCCACGTCCACGTCCACGTCCACATCCACGTCCACGTCCACGTCCACATCCACGTCCACATCCACGTCCAAGTCTACGTCCACGTCCACGTCCACGTCCACGTCGACGTCCACGTCCCCGACCACGTCCACGTCCACGACCACGTCCACGTCCACGTCCACGTCCACGAACACGTCCACATCCATGACCACGTCCACGTCCACGTCCACGTCCACGTCTACGTCCAAGTCCACGTCCACTTCCAGGTCCAGGTCCACGTCCACGTCCACGTCCACGTCCACGTCCACGTCCACGACCACGTCCACGTCCATGACCACGTCCACGTCCAAGTCCACTTCCACGTCCACGTCCACGTCTACGTCCACGACCTCGTCCACGACCACGTCCACGTCCACGTCCACGTCCACAACCACGTCCACGTCCACGACCACGTCCACATCCACGTCCACATCCACGTCCACGACCACGTCCACGACCACGTCCACGTCCACGTCCACGTCCACGTCCGGGTCCACGTCCGCGTCCACGTCCGGGTCCACGTCCGCGTCCACGTCCTCGTCCACGTCCGCGTCCACGTCCGTGTCCACGTCCTCGTCCACGTCCGCGTCCACATTTGCGTCCACGTCCACGTCCACGACCACGTCCACGTCCGCGTCCACGTCCACGACCACGTCCACGTCCAAGTCCACGTCCACGTCCACGTCCAAGTCCACGTCCACGTCGACGACCACGTACACATCCACGTCCACGTCTACGACCACATCCACATCCACGTCCATGTCCAAGTCCACGTCCACGTCCAGGTCCAGGTCCAAGTCTACGTCCACGTCCACGACCACGTCCACGTCCACGTCCACGTCCAGGTCCACGTCCACGTCCACGACCACGTCCACGTCCACGTCCACGTCCAAGTCCACGTCCACGTCCTGGTCCACGTCCACGTCCAAGTCCTCCACGTCCACGTCCACGTCCTCCACGTCCATGTCCACGTCCTCCACGTCCACGTCCACGTCCACGTCCACGTTCCACGTCCACCTACACGTCCACGTCCACGTCCACATCCACGTCCACGTCCACGTCCAAGTCTACGTCCACGTCCACGTCCACGACCACGTCCACGTCCATATCCACGTCCATATCCACGTCCATGTCCAGGTCCACGTCCACGTCCACGCCCACGTCCACGTCCTCCACGTCCACGTCCACGTCGTCCACGTCCACGTCCTCGACGTCCAAGTCCACGACCACGTCCACGTCCTCGTCCACGACCACGTCCACGTCCACGACCAGGTCCACGTCCACGTCCTCGTCCACGACCACGTCCACGTCCACATCCACGTCCAATTCCACGTCCACGTCCTGGTCCACGTCCACGTCCACGTCCTCCACGTCCACGTCCACGTCCTCCACGTCCACGTCCACGTCCACGTCCACGTCCACATACACGTACACGTCCACGTCCACATCCACGTCCACGTCCACGTCCAAGTCTACGTCCACGTCCACGTCCACGTCTACGTCGACGTCGACGTCCACGTCCACGTCTACGTCCACGACCACGTCCACGTTCACGTCCATATCCATCGTCCACGTCCATGTCCAGGTCCACGTCCACGTCCACGTCCACGCCCACGTCCACGTCCTCCACGCCCACGTCCACGTCGTCCACGTCCACGTCCTCCACGTCCACATCCACGACCACGTCCACGACCACGTCCACATCCACGTCCATGTCCGCGTCCACGTCCGCGTCCACGTCCTCGTCCACGTCCGCGTCCACGTCCGCGTCCAGGTCCACGTCCACGTCCACGTCCACATCCGCGTCCACGACCGCGTCCATGTCCGCGTCCATGTCCACGTCCACATCCATGCCCACGTCCGCGTCCACGTCCACGACCACGTCCACGTCCTCGTCCACGTCCAAGTCCACGTCCACGTCCAGGTCCACGTCCACGTCCACGTCCACGTCTACGACCACGTCCACGTCCACGTCCACGTCCACGTCCAAGTCCACGTCTACGTCCAGGTCCAGGTCCAAGTCCACGTCCACGTCCACGACCACGTCCACGTCCAGGTCCACGTCCACGTCCACGTCCACGCCCACGTCCATGTCCTCCACGTCCACGTCCACGCCGTCCATGTCCACGTCCTCCACGTCCACGTCCACGACCACGTCCATGTCCACGTCCACGTCCACGACCAAGTCCACGTCCACGTCCACGTCCACGTCCACGACCACGTCCACGACCACGTCCACGACCACGTCCACGTCCACGTCCAAGTCCACGTCCACGTCCACGTCCTCCACGTCTACGTCCATGTCGTCGATGTCCACGTCCTCCACGTCCACGTCCACGACCACGTCCACGTCCACGTCCACGTCCACGACCACGTCCACGTCCACGTCCAAGCCCACGTCCACGTCCACGTCCACGACCACGTCCACGTCCACATCCACGTCCACGACCACGTCCACGACCACGTCCACGTCCACGTCCAAGTCCACGTCCACGTGGTGGTCCACGTCCACGTCCTCCACGTCTATGTCCCTTCCTCTACGTCCACGTCTACGTCCACGTCCACGTCCACATCCACATCCACGTACACGTCCACGTCCACGTCCACGTCCACATCCACGTCCACGTCCATGTCCACGTCCACATCCACGTCCACATCGTGGTCCATGTCCACGTCCTCCACGTCCACGTCCACGTCCTCCACGTCCACGTTTACGTCCACGTCCACATCCACGTCCACGTCCACGTCCACGTCCACATCCACGTCCACGTCCATGTCCACGTCCACGTCCACGTCCATGTCCACGTCCACGTCCATGTCCACGTCCACGTCCACGTCCACGTCCACATCCACGTCCACGTCCACGTCCACGTCCACGTCCATGTCCACGTCCACGTCCATGTCCACGTCCACGTTTACGTCCACATCCACGTCCAAGCCCACGTCCACGTCCACGTCCACGTCCACGTCCACGTCGTCCACGTCCACGTCCACGACCACGTCCATGTCCACGTTCACGTCCACGACCACGTCCATGTCCAGGTCCAAGTCCACGTCCACGTCCACGTCCACGACCACGTCCAGGTCCACGTCCAAGTCCACGTCCACGTCCACGTCCACGTCCACGACCACGTCCAAGTCCACGTCCACGACCACGTCCACGTCCACGACCACGACCACGTCCACGTCCACGTCCACGTCCACGTCCACGACCACGACCACGTCCACGTCCACGACCACGTCCACGTCGACGACCACGTCCACGTCCACGTCCAAGTCCAAGTACACGTCCAAGTCCACGTCCACTTCCTCGTCCACGTCCAGGACCACGTCCACGTCCACGTCCACGTCCACGTCCACGACCACATCCACGTCCACGACCACGTCCACGTCCATGTCCACGACCACGTCCACGTCCACGTCCACGTCCAGGTCCACGTCCAGGTCCACGTCCACGTCCAGGTCGTCGTCCACGTCCACGTCCACGTCCACGTCCACGTCCACGTCCACGACCACGTCCACGTCCACGACCACGTCCACGTCCACGTCCATGTCCACGTCGACGTCCACGTCCACGTCCACGTCCACATCTACGACAACGTCCACGTCCAGGTCCAGGTCCAGGTCCACGTCCACGACCACGTCCACGTCCACGACCACGTCCAGGTCCAAGTCCAGGTCCACGTCCACGTCCACGAGCACGTCCACGTCCACGTCCACGTCCACGTCCAAGTCCACGTCCATGTCCACGTCCACGTCCACGAGCACGTCCACGTCCACGTCCACGTCCACAACCACGTCCACGTCCACGACCACGTCCACATCCACGTCCACATCCACGTCCACGTCCACATCCACGACCACGTCCACCTCCACGACCACGTCCACGTCCACGTCCACGACCATGTCCACGTCCACGTCCACGTCCACGGCCGCGTCCACGTCCGCGTCCACGTCCTCGTCCACGTCCGCGTCCACGTCCGCGTCAGTGTCTACGTCCACGTCCACGACCACGTCCACGACCACGTCCACATCCGCGTCCACGTCCGCGTCCACGTCCGCGTCCACGTCCGCGTCCGCGTCCACGTCCACGTCCAAGTCCGCGTCCGCGTCCACGTCCACGACCACGTCCACGTCCACGTCCACGTCCAAGTCCACGTCCACGTCCACGTCCACGTCTACGACCACGTCCACGTCCACGTCCACGTCCACGTCCAAGTCCGTGTCTACGTCCATGTCCAGGTCCAAGTCCACGTCCACGTCCACGTCCACGACCACGTCCAAGTCCACGTCCACGTCCACGTCCACATCCACGTCCACGACCACATCCACGTCCACGTCCACGTCCAAGTCCACGTCCACGTCCTGGTCCACGTCCACGTCCTCCACGTCCACGTCCACGTCCACATCCACGTCCACATACACGTCCACGTCCACGTCCACGTCCACATCCACGTCCACGTCCACGTCCAAGTCCACATCCACGTCCACGTCCACGTTGACATCCACCTCCACGTCCACGTCCACGACCACGTCCACGTCCACGTCCACGTCCATGTCCATGTCCACGTCCATGTCCAGGTCCACGTCCACGTCCACGTCCACGTCCTCCACGTCCACGTCAACGTCGTCCACGTCCACGTCCTCCACATCCAAGTCCACGACCACGACCACGTCCACGTCTACGTCCACGTCCGCGTCCACGTCCGCGTCCACGTCCTCGTCCATGTCCGCGTCCACGTCCGCGTCCACGTCCACGTCCGCGTCCACGTCCACGTCCACGTCCACGTCCACGTCCGCGTCCGCGTCCACGTCCACGTCCGCGTCCACGTCCACGTCCGCGTCCACGTCCATGACCACGTCCACGTCCAAGTCTGCGTCCACGTCCAAGTCCACGTCCAAGTCCACGTCCACGTCCACGTCCACGTCCAAGTCTACGTCCACGTCCAGGTCCACGTCCAGGTCCTCAACGTCCACGTCCACGTCCTCCACGTCCACGTCCACGTCCACATCCACGTCCACGTTCACGTTCACGTCCACGTCCACATCCACGTCTACGTCCAAGTCCACGTCCAAGTCCACGTCCACGTCCACGTCGACGTCGACGTCGACGTCCACGTCCACGTCCACGACCACATCCACGTCCACGTCCACGTCCATGTCTACGTCCACGTCCACGTCCAGGTCCACGTCCACGTCCACGTTCACGTCCACGCCCACGTCCACGTCCTCCACGTCTACGTCCACGTCGTCCATGTGCGCGTCCTCCACGTCCACGTCCACGTCCACGTCCGCGTCCTCGTCCACGACCACGTCCACGTCCACGTCCACGTCCGCGTCCACGTCCACGACCACGTCCACGTCCACGTCCACGTCCAAGTCCACATCCACGTCCACGTCTACGACCACGTCAACGTCCACGACCAAGTCCGTGTCCACGTCCACGTCCAGGTCCGTGTCCACGTCCATGTCCACGACCACGTCCAAGTCCACGTCCACGTCCACGTCCACGTCCACGTCCACGTCCACGACCACGTCGACGTCCAAGTCCACGTCCACGTCCTGGTCCACGTCCACGTCCTCCTCTTCCACGTCCACGTCCACGTCCACGTCCTCCTCGTCTACGTCCACGTCCTCCACGTCCACGTCCACGTCCACGTCCACATCCACGTCCACATACACGTCCACGTCCACGTCCACGTCCACGTCCAAGTCCACGTCCATGTCCACGTCCACGTCGACATCCACGTCCACGTCCACGTCCACGTCCAAGTCGTCGTCTACGTCCATGTCCATGACCACGACCACGTCCACGTCCACGTCCGCGTCCACGTCCTCGTCCACGTCCGCGTCCACGTCTGCGTCCACGTTCGCTTCCACGTCCACATCCGCGTCCACGTCCGCGTCCACGTCCACGTCCGCGTCCACGTCTGCGTCCACGTCCACGTCCGCGTCCACGTCCGCGTCCACGTCCACGTCCACGTCCACGTCCGCGTCCACGTCCGCGTCCACGTCCACGACCACGTTCACGTCCACGTCCAAGTCCACGTCCACGTCCAGGTCCACGTCCACGTCTACGACCACGTCCACGTCCACGTCCACGTCCAGGTCCAGGTCCAAGTCCACGTCCACGTCCACGACCACGTCCTCGTCCACGTCCACGTCCACGACCACGTCCACGTCCACGTCCACGTCCAAGTCCACGTCTTCGTCCTGGTCCACGTCCACGTCCTCAACGTCCACGTCTACGTCCTCCACGTCCACGTCCACGTCCACATCCACGTCCACGTACACGTCCACGTCCACGTCCACATCCACGTCCTCGTCCACGTCCAAGTCTACGTCCACGACCACGTCCACGTCCACGTTCATGTCTACGTCCACGTCCACGTCCAGGTCCACGTCCACGTCCACGCCCACGTCCACGTCCTCCACGTCCACGTCCACGTCGTCCACGTCCGCGTCCTCCACGTCCACGTCCATGACCATGTCCACGTCCACGTCCACGTCCACGTCCACGTCCACGACCACGTCCAAGTCCACGTCCACGTCCACGTCCAAGCCCATGTCCACGTCCACGTCAACGTCCACGACCACGTCCACGTCCAAGTCCACGTCCAAGTCCACGTACACGTCCACGTCCACGTCGTAATCCACGTGCACGTCCACGTCCAAGTCCACGTCCACGTCCACGTCGACGTCGACGTCCCCGACCACGTCCACGTCCACGACCACGTCCACGTCCACATCCATGTCTACGTCCACGTCCACGTCCACGTCGTCCACGTCCACGTCCATGTCCACGTCCACGTCCACGTCCACGTCCATGTCTACGTCCACGTCCACGTCCACGTCCTCCACGTCCACGTCGTCCACGTCCGCGTCCTCCACGTCCACATCCACGACCATGTCCACGTCCACGTCCACGTCCATGACCACGACCAAGTCCATGTCCACGTCCACGTCCAAGCCCATGTCCACGTCCACGTCCACGGCCACGTCCACGACCACGTCCACGTCCACGTCCACGTCCAAGTCCACGTCCAAGTCCACGTCCACGTCCACGTCCACGTCCACGACCACGTCCAGGTCCACGTCCACGTCCACGTCCAGGTCCACGTTCACGTCCACGTCCACGTCCATGTCGACGACCACGTCCACGTCCACGTCCACGACCACGTCCACGTCCACGTCCAGGTCCACGTCCACGTCCACGTCCAGGTCCACGTCCAAGTCCACGTCCACGTCCACGTCCACGACCACGTCCACGTCCACGACCACGTCCACGTCAATGTCCACGTCCACATCCACGTCCACGTCCAATTTCACGTCCACGTCCACGTCCACTTCCTCGTCCACGTCCAGGACCACGTCCACGTCCACGTCCACGTCCACGACCACGTCCATGACCACGTCCACATTCATGTCCACGTCTACGTCCACGTTCACGTCCACCTCCACGTCCAGGTCCATGTCCACGACCACGTCCACGTCCACGTCACCGACCACGTCCACGTCCACGTCCACGACCACGTCCACGTCCACGACCACGTCCACGTCCATATCCACGTCCACGTCCACGTCCAAGTCCATTTCCACGTCCACGTCCACTTCCTCGTCCACGTCCAGGACCACGTCCACGTCCACGTCCACGACCACATCCACGACCACGTCCACGTCCACGTCCACGTTCATGTCCACGTCTACGTCCACGTCCACGTCCAAGTCCACATCCACGTCCACGTCCACTTCCTCGTCCACGTCCAGGACCACGTCCACGTCCACGTCCATGACCACGTCCACGACCACGTCCACGTCCACGTTCACGTCCACGTCGACGTCCACGTTCACGTCCACGTCCACGTCCACGTCCACGTCCACGTCGTCCACGTCCACATCCACGTCCACGTCCACGTCCTCCACGTCCACGTCCACGTCCACGTCCTCCACGTCCACGTCCACGCCCACGTCCACGGCCACGTCCACGTCCACGTCCATGTCCACGTCCACGTCCTCCACGTCCACGTCCACGTCGTCCACGTCCACGTCCTCCACGTCCACGTCCATGACCACGTCCACGTCCACGTCCACGACCACGTCCTCGTCCACGTCCACGTCCGTGTCCACGTCCAAGCCCACGTCCACGTCCACTCCACGTCCACGTCCACGTCCAAGCCAACGTCCACGTCCACGTCCACGTCCACGACCAACTCCACGTCCACCTCCACGTCCAAGTCCACGTCCACGTCCACGTCCACGACCACGACCACGTCCACGTCCACGACCACGTCCACGTCCATATCCACGTCCACGTCCACGTCCAAGTCCATTTCCACGTCCACGTCCACTTCCTCGTCCACGTCCAGGACCACGTCCACGTCCACGTCCACGACCACATCCACGACCACGTCCACGTCCACGTCCACGTTCATGTCCACGTCTACGTCCACGTCCACGTCCAAGTCCACATCCACGTCCACGTCCACTTCCTCGTCCACGTCCAGGACCACGTCCACGCCCACGTCCACGTCCATGACCACGTCCACGACCACGTCCACGTCCACGTTCACGTCCACGTCGACGTCCACGTTCACGTCCACGTCCACGTCCACGTCCACGTCCACGTCGTCCACGTCCACATCCACGTCCACGTCCACGTCCTCCACGTCCACGTCCACGTCCACGTCCTCCACGTCCACGTCCACGCCCACGTCCACGGCCACGTCCACGTCCACGTCCATGTCCACGTCCACGTCCTCCACGTCCACGTCCACGTCGTCCACGTCCACGTCCTCCACGTCCACGTCCATGACCACGTCCACGTCCACGTCCACGACCACGTCCTCGTCCACGTCCACGTCCATGTCCACGTCCAAGCCCACGTCCACGTCCACGTCCACGTCCACGTCCACGTCCACGTCCACGTCCAAGCCAACGTCCACGTCCACGTCCACGTCCACGACCAACTCCACGTCCACGTCCACGTCCACGTCCACGACCACGTCCACGACCACGTCCACGACCACGTCCACGTCCACGTCCACGTCCAAGTCCACGTCTACGTCCACGACCAAGTCCACGTCCATGTCCACGACCACGTCCATGACCACGTCCACGACCACGTCCACGTCCACGTCCACGTCCAAGTCCACGTCCACGTCCACGTCCACGTCCACGTCCAAGCCAACGTCCACGTCCACGTCCACGTCCACGACCAACTCCACGTCCACGTCCACGTCCACGTCCACGACCACGTCCACGACCACGTCCACGTCCACGTCCACGTCCAAGTCCACGTCCACGTCCACGACCAAGTCCACGTCCACGTCCACGATCACGTCCATGACCACGTCCACGACCACGTCCAAGTCCACGACCACGTCCAAGTCCACGTCCACGTCCACGTCCATGTAAATTTCCTCGTCCACGTCCAGGACCACGTCCACGTCCACGTCCATGTCCACGTCCACGACCACGTCCACGTCCACGTCCACGTCCACGTCCACGTCCACGTCCAAGCCCACGTCCACGTCCACGTCCACGTCCACGACCAACTCCACGTCCACGTCCACGTCCACGTCCACGACCACGTCCACGACCACGTCCACGACCACGTCCACGTCCACGTCCACGTCCAAGTCCACGTCCACAACCAAGTCCACGTCCACGTCCACGACCACGTCCACGACCACGTCCACGACCACGTCCACGTCCACGTCCACGACCAAGTCCACGACCACGTCCAAGTCCACGTCCACGTCCACGTCCATGTAAATTTCCTCGTCCACGTCCAGGACCACGTCCACGTCCACGTCCATGTCCACGTCCACGACCACGTCCACGTCCACGTCCACGTCCACGACCATGTCCACGTCCACGTCCACGTCCACGACCACGTCCACGACCACGTCCACGTCCACGTTCACGTCCACGTCTACGTCCACGTCCAAGTCCACGTCCACGTCCACGTCCACGTCCACGTCCCCCACGTCCACGTCCACGTCCACGTCCACGTCCACGTCCTCCACATGCACGTCCACGTCCACGTCCACGTCCATGTCCACGTCCACGTCCACGTCTACGTCCATGTCCACGTCCACGACAACGTCCAGGTCCACGTCCACGTCCACGTCCACGTCCACGTCCACGGCCACGTCCACGTCCTCCACGTCCACGTCCACGTCGTCCACGTCCACGTCCTCCACGTCCACGTACACGACCACGTCCACGTCAACGTCCACGTTCACGACCACGACCACGTCCACGTCCACGTCCACGTCCAAGTCCAAGTCCACGTCCACGTCCACGTCCTCCACGTCCACGTTGTCCACGGCCACGTCCTCCACGTCCAAGTCCACGACCACGTCCATGTCCACGTCCACGTCGACGTCGACGTCGACGTCCACGTCCACGTCCACGTCCACGTCCACGACCACGTCCAAGTCCACGTCCACGTCCACGTCCACGTCCACGTCCATGTCTACGTCCACGTCCTCCACGTCCACGTCCACGTCCACGTCCACGTCCACGTCCATGTCTACGTCCACGTCCACGTCCTCCACGTCCACGTCCACGACCACGTCCACGTCCACGTACTCCACGTCCACGTCCACGTCGTCCACATCCATGTCCACGTCCAAGCCCACGTCCACGTCCACGTCCACGTCCACGTCCAAGTCCACGTCAAAGTACACGTCCACGTCAACGTCCACGTCCACGTCCACGACCACGTCTAGGTCCAAGTCCACGACCACGTCCACGTCCACGACCACGTCCAGGTCCACGTCCAGATCCACGTCCACGTCCACATCCACGTCCACGACCACGTCCATGTCCAAGTCCACGTCCACGTCCACGACCACGACCACGACCACGTCCACGTCCACGACCACGTCCACGTCCATGTCCACGTCCACGTCCACGTCCAAGTCCATTTCCACGTCCACGTCCACTTCCTCGTCCACGTCCAGGACCACGTCCACGTCCACGTCCACGTTCACGACCACGTCCACGACCACGTCCACGTCCACGTTCATGTCCACGTCTACGTCCAGGTCCACGTCCAATTCCACGTCCACGTCCACGTCCACTTCCTCGTCCAGGTCCAGGACCACGTCCACGTCCACGTCCACGACCACGTCCACGACCACGTCCACGTCCACGTTCACGTCCACGTCGACGTCCACGTTCACGTCCACGTCCACGTCCACGTCCACATCCACGTCGTCCACGTCCACATCCACGTCCACGTCCACGTCCTCCACGTCCACGTCCACGTCCACGTCCTCCACGTCCACGTCCACGCCCACGTCCACGGCCACGTCCACGTCCACGTCCACGTCCATGTCCACGTCCACGTCCTCCACGTCCACGTCCACGTCGTCCACGTCCACGTCCTCCACGTCCACGTCCATGACCACGTCCACGTCCACGTCCACGACCACGTCCTCGTCCACGTCCACGTCCACGTCCACGTCCAAGCCCACGTTCACGTCCACGTCCACGTCCACGTCCAAGCCAACGTCCACGTCCACGTCCACGTCCACGACCAACTCCACGTCCACGTCCACGTCCACGTCCACGACCACGTCCACAACCACGTCCACGACCACGTCCACGACCACGTCCACGTCCAAGTCCACGTCCACGTCCACGACCAAGTCCACGTCCACGTCCACGACCACGTCCACGACCACGTCCACGACCACATCCACGTCCACGTCCACGACCAAGTCCACGACCACGTCCAAGTCCACGTCCACGTCCACGTCCATGTAAATTTCCTCGTCCACGTCCAGGACCACGTCCACGTCCACGTCCATGTCCACGTCCACGACCACGTCCACGTCCACGTCCACGTCCACGACCATGTCCACGTCCACGTCCAAGTCCACGACCATGTCCACGACCACGTCCACGTCCACGTTGACGTCCACGTCTACGTCCACATCCAAGTCCACGTCCACGTCCACGTCCACGTCCACGTCCTCCACGTCCACGTCCATGTCCACGTCCACGTCCTCCACGTCCACGTCCACGTCCTCCACATGCACGTCCACGTCCACGTCCACGTCCACGTCCACGTCCACGTCCAGGTCCACGTCCACGTCCACGTCCACGTCCACGTCCACGGCCACGTCCACGTCCTCCACGTCCACGTCCACGTCGTCCACGTCCACGTCCTCCACGTCCACGTACACGACCACGTCCACGTCCACGTCCACGTCCACGACCACGACCACGTCCACGTCCACGTCCACGTCCAAGTCCAAGTCCACGTCCACGTCCACGTCCTCCACGTCCACGTTGTCCACGGCCACGTCCTCCACGTCCAAGTCCACGACCACGTCCATGTCCACGTCCACGTCCATGTCCACGTCCACGTCCACGACCACGTCCACGTCCACGTCCACGTCCATGTCTACATCCACGTCCTCCACGTCCACGTCCACGTCCACGTCCACGACCACGTCCACGTCCACGTCCACGTCCATGTCTACGTCCACGTCCTCCACGTCCACGTCCACGTCCACGTCTACAACCACGTCCACGTCCACGTCCATGTCTACGTCCACGTCCACGTCCTCCACGTCCACGTCCACGACCACGTCCACGTCCACGTACTCCACGTCCACGTCCACGTCGTCCACATCCATGTCCACGTCCAAGCCCACGTCCACGTCCACGTCCACGTCCACGTCCAAGTCCACGTCCAAGTCCACGTCCACGTCAACGTCCACGTCCACGTCCACGTCTAGGTCCAAGTCCACGTCCACGTCCACGTCTACGTTCACGACCACGTCCAGGTCCACGTCCAGGTCCACGTCCACGTCCACATCCACGTCTACGACCACGTCCATGTCCACGTCCACGTCCACGTCCACGTCCACGTCCACATCCACGTCCAGGACCACGTCCACGTCCACGACCACGTCCACGTCCAAGTCCACATCCACGTCCACGTCCACGTCCACTTCCTCGTCCACGTCCAGGACCACGTCCACGTCCACGTCCACGACCACGTCCACGACCACGTCCACGTCCACGTCCACGTCCACGACCACGTCCACGACCACGTCTACGTCCACGTTCACGTCCATGTCTACGTCCACGTCCAAGTCCACGTCCACGTCCACGTCCACGTCCATGTCCTCCACGTCCACGTCCACGTCCACGTCCACGTCCAGGTCCACGTCCACGTCCACGTCCACGTCCAGGTCCACGTCCACGTCCACGTCCACGTCCACGACCACGTCTAGGTCCAAGTCCACGTCCACGTCCACGTCCACGTCCACGACCACGTCCAGGTCCACGTCCAGGTCCACGTCCACGTCCACATCCACGTCCACGACCACATCCATGTCCAAGTCCACGTCCACGTCCACGTCCACGTCCACAACCACGTCCACGTCCAGGACCACGTCCACGTCCACGACCACGTCCACGTCCAAGTCCACATCCACGTCCACGTCCACGTCCATGTCCACGTCCACGTCCACGTCCACGTCCACGTCCACGACCACGTCCACGTCCACGTCCACGTCCACGACCATGTCCACGTCCACGTCCACGTCCAGGACCACGTCCACGACCACGTCCACGTCCACGTTCACGTCCACGTCTACGTCCACGTCCAAGTCCACGTCCACGTCCACGTCCACGTCCTCCACGTCCACGTCCACGTCCACGTCCACGTCCTCCACGTCCACGTCCACGTCCTCCACATGCACGTCCACGTCCACGTCCACGTCCACGTCCATGTCCACGTCCACGTCCACGTCCAGGTCCACGTCCACGTCCACGACCACGTCCACGTCCACGTCCACGTCCACGTCCACGTCCACGTCCATGTCTGCGTCCACGTCCTCCACGTCCACGTCCACGTCCACGTCCACGACCACGTCCACGTCCACGTCCACGTCCATGTCTACGTCCACGTCCACGTCCTCCACGTCCACGTCCACGACCACGTCCACGTCCACGTACTCCACGTCCACGTCCACGTCGTCCACATACATGTCCACGTCCAAGCCCACGTCCACGTCCACGTCCACGTCCAAGTCCACGTCCAAGTCCACGTCCACGTCAACGTCCACGTCCACGACCACGTCTAGGTCCAAGTCCACGTCCACGTCCACGTCCACATCCACGACCACGTCCAGGTCCACGTCAAGGTCCACGTCCACGTCCACATCCACGTCTACGACCACATCCATGTCCAAGTCCACGTCCACGTCCACGTCCACAACCACGTCCACGTCCAGGACCACGTCCACGTCCACGACCACGTCCACGTCCAAGTCCACATCCACGTCCACGTCCACGTCCACTTCCTCGTCCACGTCCAGGACCACGTCCACGTCCACGTCCACGACCACGTCCACGACCACGTCCACGTCCACGTCCACGACCACGTCCACGACCACGTCGACGTCCACGTTCACGTCCATGTCTACGTCCACGTTCAAGTCCATGTCCACGTCCACGTCCACGTCCATGTCCTCCACGTCCACGTCCACGTCCACGTCCTCCTCGTCCACGTCCACGTCCACGTCCACGTCCACGTCCAGGTCCACGTCCACGTCCACGTCCACGTCCACGTCTACGACCACGTCTAGGTCCAAGTCCACGTCCACGTCCACGTCCACGTCCACGACCACGTCCAGGTCCACGTCCACGTCCACGTCCACGTCCAAGTCCACGTCCACGTCCACGTCCACGACCACGTCCACGTCCACGTCCACGTCCACGTCCACGTCCACGTCCACGTCCACGTCCACGACCACGTCCACGTCCACGTCCACGTCCACGTCCATGTCCTCCACGTCCACGTCCACGTCCACGTCCTCCACGTCCACGTCCACGTCCACGTCCACGTCCATGTCCACGTCCACGTCCACGTCCACGTCCACGCCCACGACCACGTCCACCTCCACGTCCTCCACGTCCACGTCCTCCACGTCCACGTCCATGACCACGTCCACGTCCACGTCGACATCCATGACCACATCCAGGTCCATGTCCACGACCACGTCCAAGTCCACGTCCACATCCATGTCCACGTTCACGTCCACGTCCAAGTCCACGTCCACGTCCACGTCAACGACCACGACCACGTCCACGTCCACGACCACGTCCACGTCCACGTCCACGTCCACTTCCTCGTCCAAGTCGAGGACCACGTCCACGTCCACGACCACGTCCAAGTCCACATCCACGTCCACGTCCACGTCCACTTCCTCGTCCACGTCCAGGACCACGTCCACATTTACGTCCACGACCACGTCCATGACCACGTCCACGTCCACGTACACGACCACGTCCACGCCCACTTCCACGTCCACGTTCACGTCCACGTCTACGTCCACGTCCAAGTCCACGTCCACGTCCACGTCCATGTCCTCCACGTGCACGTCCACGTCCTCCACGTCCACGTCCACGTCCACGTCCATGTCCATGTCCACGTCCACGTCCAGGTCCACATCCACATCCACGTCCACGTCCACGCCCATGACCACGTCGACGTCCACGTCGTCCACGTCCACGTCCTCCACGTCCACGTCCACGACCACGTCCACGTCCACGACCACGTCCACGTCCACGTCCACGACCACGTCCATGTCCATGTCCACGTCCACGACCACGTCCACGTCCACGTACACATCCAAGTCCATGTCCAAGTCCACGTCCATGTCCACGACCACGTCCAGGTCCACGTCCACGTCCACGTCCACGTCCACGACCACGTCCAGGTCCATGTCTAGGTCCACGTTCACGTCCACGTCCACGTCCACGTCCACGTCCACGACCACGTCCACGTCCACGACCACGTCCACGTCCACGTCCACGACCACGTCCACGTCCACGTCTACGTCCAAGTCCACGTCTGTGTGTTAGACCCACCGTGTGTTAAACCCACAGTGTGTAACACCCACCGTGTGTTAAACCCACCATCTGTTAAACCCACCGTGTGTTAAACCTACTGTGTGTTAAACCCACCGTGTGTTAAACCCACCGTGTTTTAAACCCACCGTATGTTAAACCCATCGTGTGTTAAACCCACCGTGTGTTAAATCCACCGTGCGTTAAACCCACCGTCTGTTCAACCCACCGTCTATTCAACCCACCGTCTGTTCAACCCACCGTGTGTTCAACCCACCGTGTGTTCAACCCACCGTGTGTTCAACCCACCGTGTGTTCAACCCACCGTGTGTTCAACCCACCGTGTGTTCAACCCACCGTGTGTTAAACGTTCCGTGTGTTTAACCGACCATGTGTTCAACCCACCGTGTGTTCAACCCACCGTGTGTTAAACCCACCGTCTGTTAAACCCACCGTCTGTTAAACCCACGGTGTGTTAAACCCACCGTCTGTTAAACCCCCCGTGTGTTCAACCCACCGTGTGTTAAACCTACCGTGTGTTCAACCTACCGTGTGTTCAACCCACCGTGTGTTCAACTCACCGTGTGTTCAACCCACCGTGTGTTCAACCCACAGTGTGTTAAGCCCACCGTGTGTTAAACCCACCGTGTGTTAAACCCACCGTGTGTTAAACCCACCATGTGTTAAACCCACCGTGTGTTAAACCCACCGTGTGTTAAACCCACCGTGTGTTAAACCCACCGTGTGTTAAACCCACCGTGTGTTACACCCACCGTGTGTTCAACCCACCGTGTGTTCAACCCACCGTGTGTTCAACCCACCGTGTTTTGAACCCACCGTGTGAGGAACCCACCGTGTGTTAAACCCATCGTGTGTTAAACCCACTGTGTGTTAAACCTACCGTGTGTTAAACCCACCGTGTGTTCAACCCACCATGTGTTCAACCAACCGTGTGTCAAACCTACCGTGTGTTGAACCCACCGTGTGTTAAACCCACCGTGTGTTAAACCCACCGTGTGTTAAACCCACTGTGTGTTAATCCCACTGTGTGTTAAACCCACCGTGTGTTACACCTACTGTGTGTTAAACCCACCGTCTGTTAAACCCACCGTGTGTTCAACCCACCGTGTGTTCAACCCACCGTGTGTTAAACCCACCGTGTGTTAAACCCACCGTGTGTTAAACCCACCGTGTGTTAAACCCACCGTGTGTTAAACCCACCGTTTGTTAAACCCACCGTGTGTTAAACCCACCGTGTGTTACACCCACCGTGTGTTACACCAACCGTCTGTTAAACCCACCGTGTGTTCAACCCACCGTGTGTTCAAGCCACCGTGTGTTCAACCCACCGTGTGTTAAACCCACTGTGTGTTAAACCCACCGTGTGTTAAACCCACCGTGTGTTAAACCCACCGTGTGTTAAACCCACCGTGTGTTAAACCCACCGTGTGTTCAACCCACCGTGTGTTCAACCCACCGTGTGTTCAACCCACGGTGTGTTCAACCCACCGTGTGTTAAACCCACCGTGTGTTAAACCCACCGTATGTTAAACCCACCATGTGTTAAACCCACTGTGTGTTAAACCCACCGTGTGTTACACACACCGTGTGTTAAACCCACCGTGTATTAAACCCACCATGTGTTCAACCCACCGTGTGTTCAACCAACCGTGTGTTCAACCCACCGTGTGTTCAACCCACCGTGAGTTAAACCCACCGTGTGTTGAACCCACCGAGTGTTAAACCCAGCGTGAATTAAACCCATCGTGTGTTAAACCCACCGTGTGTTAAATCCACCATGTGTTAAACCCATCGTGTGTTAAACCCACCGTGTGTTAAACCCACCGTGTGTTAAACGCACCGTGTGTTACACCCACCGTGTGTTCAACCCACCGTGTGCTAAACCCACCGTGTGTTCAACCCACCGTGAGTTAAACCCACCGTGTGTTAAACCCACCGTGTGTTAAACCCACCGTGTGTTAAACCCACCATTTGTTAAACCCACCGTGTGTTAAACCCACCGTGTGTTACACCCACTGTGTGTTAAACCTACCGTGTGTTAAACCCACCGTGTGTTCAACCCACCGTGTGTTCAACCCACCGTGTGTTCAACCCACGGTGTGTTCAACCCACCGTGTGTTAAACCCACCGTGTGTTAAACCCACCGTATGTTAAACCCACCATGTGTTAAACCCACTGTGTGTTAAACCCACCGTGTGTTACACCCACCGTGTGTTAAACCCACCGTGTGTTAAACCCACCGTGTGTTAAACCCACCGTGTGTTAAACCCACCGTGTATTAAATCCACCGTGTGTTAAACCCACCGTGTGTTAAACCGACTGTGTGTTAAACCCACCGTGTGTTAAACCCACCGTGTGTTACACCCACTGTGTGTTCAACCCACCGTCTGTTAAACCCACCGTGTGTTAAACCCACTGTGTGTTAAACCCACTGTGTGTTAAACCCACCGTGTGTTAAACCCACCGTGTGTTAAACCCACTGTGTGTTAAACCCACCGTGTGTTAAACCTACCGTGTGTTCATCCCACCGTGTGTTCAACCCACCGTGTGTTCAACCCACCGTATGTTCAACCAACCGTGTGTTCAACCCACCGTGTGTTCAACCCACCGTGTGTTCAACCCATCGTCTGTTAAGCCCACCATGTGTTAAACCCACCGTGTGTTCAACACACTGTGTGTTCAACCCACCGTGTGTTCAACCCACCATGTGTTAAACCTTCCGTGTGTTCAACCCACCGTGTGTTCAACCCACCGTGTGTTCAACTCACCGTGTGTTCAATCCACCGTGTGTTAAACCTACCGTGTGTTCAACCCACCGTGTGTTAAACCTACCGTCTGTTCAACCCACCGTGTGTTCAACCCACCGTGTGTTCAACCCACCGTGTGTTCAACCCACCGTGTGTTCAACACACCGTGTGTTCAACCCACCGTGTGTTCAACACACCGTGTGTTCAAACAACCGTGTGTTCAACCCACCTTGTGTTAAGCCCACCGTGTGTTATATCCACCGTGTGTTAAACCCACCGTGTGCTAAACCCACCGTGTGTTAAACCCACCGTGTGCTAAACCCACCGTGTGTTAAACCCACCGTGTGTTAAACCCACCGTGTGTTACACCCACCGTGTGTTCAACACACCGTGTGTTCAACCCACCGTGTGTTCAACACACCGTGTGTTCAAACAACCGTGTGTTCAACCCACCTTGTGTTAAGCCCACCGTGTGTTATATCCACCGTGTGTTAACCCACCGTGTGTTCAACCCACCGTGTGTTCAACCCACCGTGTGTTAAACCCACCGTGTGTTAAACCCACCGTGTGTTAAACCCACCGTGTGTTAAATCCACCGTGTGTTAAATCCACCGTGTGTTAAACCGAACGTGTGTTAAACCGACTGTGTGTTAAACCCACCGTGTGTTACACCCACCGTGTGTTCAACCCACCGTGTGTTAAACCTACCGTGTGTTCAACCCACTGTGTGTTCAACCCACCGTGTGTTAAACCCACCGTGTGCTAAACCCACAGTGTGTTAAACCAACCGTGTGTTAAAACCACTGTGTGTTAAACCCACTGTGTGTTAAACCCACCGTTTGTTAAACCTACTGTGTGTTCATCCCACTGTGTGTTCAACCCACCGTGTGTTCAACCCACCATGTGTTCGACCAACCGTGTGTTCAACCCACCGTGTATTCAACCCTCCGTGTGTTCAACCCACCGTCTGTTAAGCCCACCGTGTGTTAAACCCACCGTGTGTTAAACCCACCGTGTGCTAATCCCACCGTCTGTTAAGCCCACAGTGTGTTGAGCCCACCGTGTGTTAAACCCACCGTGTGCTAAACCCACCGTGTGCTAAACCCACCGTGTGTTAAACCCACCGTGTGTTAAACCCACCGTGTGTTAAACCCACCGTGTGTTCAACCCACCGTGTGTTAAACCCACCGTGTGTTCAACCCACCGTGTGTTCAACCCACCGTGTGTTCAACCCACCGTGTGTTAAACCCACCGTGAGTTAAACCCACCGTGTATTAAACCCACCGTGTGTTAAACCCACCGTATGTTAAACCCACCATTTGTTAAACCCACTGTGTGTTAAACCCACCGTGTGTTACACACACCGTGTGTTAAACCCACCGTGTGTTAAACCCACCATGTGTTCAACCCACCGTGTGTTCAACCAACCGTGTGTTCAACCCACCGTGTGTTCAACCCACCGTGAGTTAAACCCACCGTGTGTTGAACCCACCGAGTGTTAAACCCAGCGTGTGTTAAACCCATCGTGTGTTAAATCCACCGTGTGTTAAATCCACCATGTGTTAAACCCATCGTGTGTTAAACCCACCGTGTGTTAAACCCACCGTGTGTTAAATGCACCGTGTGTTACACCCACCGTGTGTTCAACCCACCGTGTGCTAAACCCACCGTGTGTTCAACCCACCGTGAGTTAAACCCACCGTGTGTTAAACCCACCGTGTGTTAAACCCACCGTGTGTTAAACCCACCGTTTGTTAAACCCACCGTGTGTTAAACCCACCGTGTGTTACACCCACCGTGTGTTACACCAACCGTCTGTTAAACCCACCGTGTGTTCAACCCACCGTGTGTTCAACCCACCGTGTGTTCAACCCACGGTGTGTTCAACCCACCGTGTGTTAAACCCACCGTGTGTTAAAACCACCGTATGTTAAACCCACCATGTGTTAAACCCACTGTGTGTTAAACCCACCGTGTGTTACACCCACCGTGTGTTAAACCCACCGTGTGTTAAACCCACCATGTGTTCAACCCACCGTGTGTTCAACCAACCGTGTGTTCAACCCACCGTGTGTTCAACCCACCGTGAGTTAAACCCACCGTGTGTTAAACCCACCGTGTGTTAAACCCACCGTGTGTTAAACCCATCGTGTGTTAAACCCACCGTGTGTTTAGTCCACCATGTGTTAAACCCATCGTGTGTTAAACCCACCGTGTGTTAAACCCACCGTGTGTTAAACGCACCGTGTGTTACACCCACCGTGTGTTCGACCCACCGTGTGCTAAAAACACCGTGTGTTCAACCCACCGTGAGTTAAACCCACCGTGTGTTAAACCCACCGTGTGTTAAACCCACCGTGTGTTAAACCCACCGTGTATTAAATCCACCGTGTGTTA